ATCTCTTCTTCTTCTTCTTCTACCTCACAGGGTGTCTGTTGTGGGGAGGGGAAGGGAAAGGAGATTGTAAGCCGCTCTGAGACTCCTTTGGGTAGTGAAGGGCGGGGTATAAATCCAATCTCTTCTTATTCTTCTTCTACCTCACAGGGTGTCTGTTGTGGGGAGGGGAAGGGAAAGGTAATTGTAAGCCGCTCTGAGACTCCTTTGGGTAGTGAAGGGCGGGGTATAAATCCAATATCTTCTTCTTCTTCTTTTACCTCAGAGGGTGTCTGTCGTGGGGAGGGGAAGGGAAAGGAGATTGAATGCCGCTCTGAGACTCCTTTGGGTAGTGAAGGGCGGGGGTATAAATCCAATCTCCCCCTCCTCTTCCTCCTCCTCCTCCTCCTCCTCCTATTCTTCTTTTCTTCTTCTTCGCCTCTGTACAGATTGGTTTGTGGGTATTGTCCACTACCACTTCTCCGCCCGGCAGCATGAGCTTCAGCAAAATATGTCTCCCAGATCTGGTTTCAAATAGTCAACTTCTGGAAAGGTTTGCCCTGCCCTTGATCGCCCTGGCTAGCCTGATCTTGTCAGATCTCAGAAACGAAGACATTTGGCCCCGGTTCGAACTGGGACGGGGGACCATCAAAGAAGTCCAGAGTCGCTATATGGAGGCGGGCAATGGCCGACCACCTCTGTTCATCCTTTGCCTTGAAAGCCCCAGGAGGGGTTGCCATAAATTGGCTGCAACTTGACAGCCAGAGAGAGAGAGAGTTTTCATTCTGAGCTGAATAGTAAAAAGCCCAGTAGCACCTTTAAGACTAACAATCTTTATTGTAGCATAAGCTTTCGAGAAACACAGCTCTCTTAGAGGGAGCAGACATCCTCAAACTCCTGGCGGATATGCTCAAGCCGGTGATGGAACAACTCGATGGTATTAACCAGCAATTGACTGTGATGAATAAAAACTTTGCGGCACAGCAGCTTCAGCTGAACGAGACGGAGAAAAAAGTGGAGCAGGCATGCACAAGCATTTTGTAGCACCTTGCTCTTGTGCAGTTTCTGATTTTTCTTTTTGAAAGAAAAGAAGCAGATTTGCTTTTGTTAGTCTTAAAGGTGCTACTGGGCTTTTTACTATTTTGCAGCAACCGACTAACACAGCTAACTCCTCTGGATTCTGAGTTGAGTTTCATTGGTAAATAGTTCCCCCGGGTAATTGAAACTTTGCCCCATATTTTCTTTGATTGTGTCCTGAGAGATCTGTGGATACAGCTGATGATAGTTTCCAACGTTTCCCCTGTTTCTGTGTCTTCCCTGCTAGCCGGTAATGACCCCCGGTGTTACTTTGGCTGTGGCTAAATTTCTAGGAGCAGCGGTTTCTATTGCAGGGGTGGAAATGGAGGGCTCTGTCCAAGACTGCGGGGTCGTTGGATTCTTAAAGAAAAGAAAAGCAAGTAGCCCTAAGGTTGACTGACTTAATGACATTTTTTTTCTCTTTTCTTTTAGGGCTTGATACAAGCGACCCCAATGCTGTCGTAATAGGATTGGCTCCGGAACACTTCAATTATCAAATGATGAATGAGGCTTTCCAGTAAGTAACACTTGGAATTCACTGCCACAGGAAGTGGTGGCGGCTACAAGCATGGACGGCTTCAAAAGGGAATTAGACAAGCATATGGAGCAGAGGTCCATCAGTGGCTCTTAGTCACAAGGTATAGATAGGGGCTCTGGGGCAAGTGACGCTCTGTCTTCTTGGTGCTTGGGGGGGTCAACAGTGGGAGGGCTTCTAATGTCTTGGCCCCACTGGTGGACCTCCTGATCTCAGGATGGAAGGTGTCCAATATGCTACTGGGGAAGAGCAGGAGGTAAGTCCAAGTAACCTCAGAAAGAACGAAGTGGCCGGGCCAAAGCCGAAAGGATGCTCAGCTGTGGATGTGTCTGATGGTGAAAGGGAAGTCCGATGCTGCAAAGAACAGTACTGCAGAGGAACCTGGAATGTAAGATCTACTGCCAATGACAGGAGGGGCTGGTGTGATGTGGTCCATGGGGTCGCAAAGAGTCAGACTTGACTGTGCAACTGAACAACAACAAGCAGGTCTGGTTATGGTCGGTACTTGGATGGGAGACCACCCGGGAAGTTCAGGGTTGCTACGCAGAGGCAGGCAAGGGCCAACCCCCTCTGCCTGTCTCATGCCTTGGAAACCCTACGGGGTCACCGTCAGTCGGCCACAACTTGACCACAAAACAAAAGCAGTGGCCCGGATCCAAATAGGCACCGGGGTACCCACTGTTGTATATCAATTCATCTGAGGGACATCGAAATTGACACCCGATCTCATCTGTTCCGTGATTCTTTTCTGCTTTAAACTGTTATTTTGAAGTTGTTTTTAATCGTATCATATTAAGATGGATGTAAGCGGTGAAGAGGAGCTGCGGTGACTCAAGTGGTTAAGACGCTGAACTGCAGGCTATGGAAGGTCAGTAGTTCAGCGGTTCGAGACCCGAGTTCCGCATGACGGAGTGAGCTCCCGTCTCTATTTGGTGAGAAAGATGAGAAACATGATGGCTGCTTGTATCTGTGCAAGTTTCTTCACAAGGTTGAGGGATTTCCATTCTGTGTGGCTAAATGGGGTGCCTTCTATGGAGAGAGGTCGAGACGGGTCTCCCTGTTAGTCTCTTTGGACAGCGCTGGCTCTTCGGCTTTGAAACAGAGATGAGCACACACACACCCCGGAGTCGGACTCGACTGGCTTTCAAGCAAGGGAACCTTTACCTTTTTAAGCGGTCAAGTCACGGCCGATTCCGTAGGGCTTTCGAGGCCAGAGACGGGCAGAGGGGGTTTGCCATTGCCTGCCTCTGAGTAGTATCAGGGTTTCCTCCGTGGCCTCCCATCCAAGTAGCAACCAGGGCCGACCCTGCTTCGCTCCCGAGATCTGGTGAGATCGGTCTACCCTGGGCCATCCAGGTCTCAGGACTGAGAGAAACAGAGGTGGTTTGCCCTTGCCTGCCTCTGTGTAGCCGCCCTTGACTTCCTTGGCGGTCTCCCATCCGAATACTAACCAGGGTCTGCTTAGCTTCCAAGATCTGACAAGACTTGCCCTAGCCTGAGCTACTCAGGTCAGGACTCTTTTTACCTGCCAAGTAGCCAGAAATCGGTGGGAAAATCCATTTCATTCCCTATCTTCATTCATTCTTATCCTGTTCTTCCTGTTCTTCTTCAACAGATCGACCAGAGTTCTAGGGGAATCCCAGACCATCACACTGATACAACCCAAGGCTTCCTTGGCGGCAGGGGTCATTTCGTAGAAAAAGAGGTGCAGGAGCTCATTAGCATGACTTATTTGCATATGCCACACCCCCTGACATCACCGGGAGTGTGTCAGAAGGCAACATCCACTGCAATTTACCTGGCTGCTTCTTGCTCCTGGTGGCCCGGGGCTGCTGGGAGCAGGGGGCGGGGCTTCCTGCATGTGCCCGCCCCTGGGCTCTTTACTGCTGGAGCTCCGCTCCTGTGCGCTCCTGCAGGAAATGACCCCTGATGTTAAGTCTTCTGTATTTGGTGAGAAAGATGAGAAACATGATGGCTGCTTGTATCTGTGCAAGTTTCTTCACAAGGTTGAGGGATTTCCATTCTGTGTGGCTAAATGGGGTGCCTTCTATGGAGAGAGGTCGAGACGGGTCTCCCTGTTAGTCGTCTGTAGCAGGAGAAAAGAGCAAGAGTCCAGGAGCACCTGAAGTCACGGCTCCCTTCTTCTGATACCTTTTTCATTCCCAGTCCCTTTGGCATAACGTTAAATCCCATTCCGACTGACATGGTTCCCTTCCCTCCCAGAAGCTGGACTGCAGACTTACTTGGATCACTGACAGTGCTGCCTTCATTGGAGTGACACCCTCCTCTAAGTCTATTGAAGTCAGTGGTTCTGCGAAGGGTGTTAAATCAGCTTAGGGTGGTACTTGAGTCGCTGGACACCCCACAACTGCATCGAGAGCCTTCCTCTCCAGAACAGAGTAACACTCCTGAGGATGCGCTCCTACACTCAGTGTCATGGAGCGTGACCCTAAGCAACAAGGCATGTACACACACACACGAAATGCACAAGCATTTTGTAGCACCTTGCTCCTGTGCATTTTCTGATTTTTCCTTTTGAAAGAAAAGAAGCAGGTTTGCTCCATCATGGATCACTGCCTTGATGTGGTTCGATGACACTGTGGGCTATGCCGTGGAGGGCTACCCAGGACAGACAGGCCACAGCAGAGAACTCAGACCAAGCGTGATCCACTGGAGGAAAGGGCAACCCACTCCAGTTATCTTTGCCAAGAAAAGAAGAAGAAGAAGAGATTGGATTTATACCCCGCCCTTAACTACCCAAAGGTATCTTACAAACTCCCTTCCCTTCCCCTCCCCACAACAGACACCCTGTGAGGTAGGCGGGGCTGAGAGAGCTCTTGACAGAAACTGCTCTTTTTCAAGGACAGCTCTTATCAGAACTACGGCTTGCCCAAGGTCATCCAGGCAGGTGCAAGTGGAGGAGTGGGGAATCAAACCCGGTTCTCCCAGATTAGAGTCCGCGCACTTAACCACTACACCAAACCCCATGGACGGTAACAATAGGCTAAAAGATATGACCCCGGAAGATGAGCCCCTCAGGTCGGAAGGTGTCCGATATGCTACTGGGGAAGAGCAGGGGGCAAGTCCAAGTAACCCCAGAAAGAGTGAAGCGGCTGGGCCAAAGCCGAAAGGAGGCTCAGCTGTGGATGTGTCTGATGGTGAAAGGGAAGTCCGATGCTGCAAAGAACAGTACTGCAGAGGAACCTGGAACGTAAGATCTACCGCCGATGAGAGGAGGGGCTCGCGTGATGTGGTCCATGGGGTCGCAAAGAGTCGGACTCGACTGTGCGACTGAACAACAACAAGGAGGTCTGGTCATGGTCGGTACTTGGATGGGAGACCACCCGGGAAGTCCAGGGTTGCTACGCAGAGGCAGGCAAGGGTCAACCACCTCTGCCTGTCTCATGCCTTGGAAACCTTACGGGGTCACCGTAAGTCGGCCGCAACTTGACCACAAAACAAAAGCAGTGGCCCGGATCCAAATAGGCATCGGGGTACCCACTGTTGTATCTCCATTCATCTGAGTGACGTCGAAATTGACACCCGATCTCACCTGTTCCGTGATTCTCTGCTTTAAACTGTTATTTTGAAGTTGTTTTCAAGGGCTCTTTTTGTAGCAGGTACTCATTTGCATATTAAGCGACACACCCCTAATGTAGCCAATCATCCAAGAGCTTACAGTAGCCCCTGTAAGAAGAGCTCTGTAAGCTCTTGGAGGATTGGCTACATTAGGGGTGTGTGGCCTAATATGCAAAGGAGTTCCTGCTACAAAAAGAGCCCGTATTAAGATTGAAGTAAGCGGTCAAGTCACGGCCGATTCCGTAGGGCTTTCGAGGCAAGAGACGGGCAGAGGGCGTTTGCCCTGGCCTGCCTCTGTGTAACCGCCCTTGACTTCCTTGGTGGTCGCCCGTCCGAATACTAACCAGGGTCTGCTTAGCTTCCAAGATCTGACAAGACTTGCCCTAGCCTGAGCTATCCGGGTCAGGACTCTTTCTAGCTGCCAAGTAGCCAGAAATCGGTGGGAGAATCCATTTCATTCCCTATCTTCATTCATTTTTATCCTGTTCTTCCTGTTCTTCTTCAACAGATTGACCAGAGTTCTAGGGGAATCCCAGACCATCACGCTGATACAGCCCAAGGCTTCCTCGGCGGCAGGGGTCATTTCGTAGAAAAAGAGGTGCAGGAGCTCATTCGCATAACCCCCTAGCATAACTTATTTGCATATGCCACACCCCCTGACATCACCAGAAGTGCGTTAGAAGGCAACACCCACTGCTCAGGCTCCACTGGACTGTTTTAGATTGCTAGCTATTTGGGGGGGGGGGGAAGGAGCAGAGCGGCCCT